CAATGAAAAGCTCATCACTGGATCACCGCCAAAACTCATAACTCAGAGACCACACGGCACTATTACAGGGTGAATGGTTATTATACATACATTCAATACAAAAAAGATGGCACAACGGAAACAATGGTGATCGTTTCAAAAATTTCACAACCTAAATTTGCTTCAAGTTACAAAATTGTATTTATTATATTGTTTCCATAAATCCCATAACCCCGATATTTTGACGGTGACCATTTTTTTCTGTGTAAAATCTCGCTCTTGCTGCCAATTAAGACAACTTTATTCATTCTGAGTTGTTTTAGTTATTTATTATAAAAGTACGAAAACAGTAGTAGATTTTAGCTCGAATAGTTTTGTGAACTGGACACAAATGATTTTAAAGGACCCCGCACGAAAACACGGGAAATTGGCTCTTGGTCGAATTGGCTGAAATTTTACTATGTTGTGGTGGGATGGCTCATTAGAAAAATATGTGAGTTTGAAAAGTTTTGTATGTTTAGTTTCTGAGATATTAGCCGACAAAGTTCGTAAAAACGTCGTATCGGGGTAGGATTGACACAGAAAAAAACTGTTTTTTTAGTATGAATAAGACAAAATAAGCTATAAAATGTATTGATCGGAACTCATCAACATGTCTAGTTATAATCACATGGATTATAGTAAATCAGGGTGTATACGAGGCACGGTCAAAAAATTCATTTTTAGGAAAAAAAATTCGAGCACTATTTCAGAACCAACAAGTTATATTTTGGTGAGATATTATAGTTTTAGTGTATTGTAGGCTTCGAAAACGTATTTTCATTCTTGATAACTATCTCTGTTCGAAATATGAATTCTTTGAATTTTGTGTTATACCCCTTTTGGAAATCAATTGACAACTTGTTTTTGATCACAAAAAGAGGGATTAATTGATACTGTTGATTGAATGAAAGCTGAGATAACTCACTAGCGAATTCAGTTGTTCAATATTGCTTTTCATTTAGATACAGGGTGAGTTAGATTTTGTTGAAGATTAGTTAAAATGTTTCAATTGAATATATCGAAAACAGTTCCGTTGATTTCGATCTCATTTTACTCACACTATTTTGAATATGTTGATTATCATATGCAAAAAGTTTTTCAATTTTTTATGTTTCGTTTCTGAGATATGCATCCCTATAATACCTGTAATACTGTAAACTCAAAAATTAATATCCCTATAATACCTGTAATACTGTAAACTCAAAAATTGATATATCAGAAACGAAACATAAAAAATTGAAAAACTTTTTGCATATGATAGCCAACATATTTAAAATAGTGTGAGTAAAATGAGATACAAATTGACGGAACTGTTTTCGAGATATTCAATTGAAACATGCTAAATAATCTTCAACAAAATCTAACACACCCTGTATCAAAATGAGAGGCAATATTGAACAATTGAATTCGCTTGTGAGTTACCTCAGCTTTCATTCAGTCAACAGTGTCAATCAATCCCTTTCTTTGTGATCAAAAACCAGCTGTCAATTGTTTTCAAAAAGGGGTATAACACAAAATTCTAAAAATTTATATTTCGAACAGAGATAGTTATCAAGAATCAAAATACGTTCTCGAAGCCTACAATAGACTGAAACTATAATGTCCCACCAAAATATAACTTGTTGATTTTGGAATAGTGCTCGAATTTTTTTTGCGAAAAATGAATTTTTTGACCGTGCCTCGTATACACCCTGATTCACTATAATTCATGTGATTATAACTAGATATGTTGATGAGTTCCGATCAATACATTTTTCAGCTTATTTTGTTTCATTTATACTAAGAAAACAGTTTTTTTCTTTGTCAATCCTACCCCGATACGACGTTTTTACGAACTTTGTCGGCTTATATTTCAGAAACTAAACATACAAAACTTTTTAAACTCACATATTTTTTTAATGAGCCATCCCACAACAACATAGTGAAATTTTTAGCCAATTCGACCGAGAGCCAATTTCCCGTGTTTTCGTGCGGGGTCATTTTCAAATGAAATATCCTGTTTTTTATCTATAGGTGATTTGGGTTTAATCATCATATTTTGCGTTCAGGATTCTATAGATGAAATATTTCCAATTAGTAATGAATCACCCTGTATACACATTGTTAGCGATTGTGTTGAAACTACTGATGGCAACATTGTAATGAGATTTTGTATGAATATGTTTCAGAAGTTGACACATTGCATGAATTCATTTTCATATCTGACTCATAGCAAGCCCAAATTATTTTTTGCAGTGTTCTACCTATTCTATTCTACCGAATTCCCCATTTTCCGAAACACGTTGTATATGAAAATTATTAATTTAATCCACTAGTGAAATTTCGACCCTTGACGTGCACAAAGTGGCCATAGTTATGGCTACACAGAAATCTAATATACGCCTTGGTAGTAAATTCGTCATGATCCAGAAAAAATATACAGAAAGAATGAGAACGCAAAATGTTGCAACTGTTGAATATTACTTCAATTTTTTATTGGTCATCTGTGACAGTTCATATCATTGTGCAGTAAATGTCAGGTTGAATGTTTTTTTTTTCATTTCGGATGCCAACCGGGAATGTTTCAGTAGGAATACTTAGGACAACACACTTATAATGGATTTTATGGCTTTCTGTTTCTTATACAGGGTGTTTCACAAGTGCTATGTCAAACTTTGTGGATGATAGCTGGGATTCGATAAACATTTTTTCTTAAATGAAAATTGATCCGATTTATTTTTGACCTATTTCATATTCTTATATAGGATATATAAAAATTCTACCGCATCCTTTTGACATCGAGTTCTGTTCCTCAAAATTATGAAAACATTTTTTATTAACATGGTCCTGGAAACCACTCTTCTTCGAAATACACGATGTTGAAGCCGAGGTTGAAGCAAAGTTTAGATAATTATTAAGTACTTCTTTTTGTCGATATATAAGTTTGAGATTTGTATATTTTCCATTAATCAAATTTCAAGAAACTATTGAAGGGTTGCTCTTATCAGAGGTTAGCCAGTATAGGTTTTGGAATGGAAAAATGACCCTTAGCATAGTTTTGCAAAGTATTGACTTGCATTTTATACTCACACTCACTAATCCATTTTGTGATTATTTATTTCTTCAAGTTTTTTATGGGATTCACTTCTTGGTAATAACTTTCAGTTTTACCTCCTAAAAATATACCCTCTTTCCAGTGCTGTAAGTTCCGAATCATTCGAGGTGGGATTTAGAGATTTGGTGGAAGCAACTATATCAAATTGCCTTTTATTCACAGAACATTTTTATTATATTACTTCTGGTTCAATATCAATATGTAATTTCTGTGAAAATTTTATCGTTTGTGAAGATTTTTACATTTCCATCAAGTAGATTAGATTAGATTTGGAATGGGGCCTTCGGGCTATCTGCCTCCACACTGCGACCTTTTCAGATCTATTGTGTCTGTCCTCAAAATCGATTAGAGTTCTTCGGCTAGCCCCGCCTTCTCTATGAGACTCCATAGGCTAGCTTTCAGATCTCCTGTGAATCTCTGGGCTCCTGGTTTTTCCTCACCCAGCGTAAGGAACCTTAGTCTTGACAAGCCCTCACAGTGGCAAAGTATGTGTACTGCTGTTTCTTCCTCTTCTTGACAGAACCTGCACAGCAGTTCTTCAGTCAGACCTATCGTACTCATGTGTTTATTGAGCCTACAATGCCCTGTGAGAAGTCCCACTAGTATTCTAGTTGAACTTCGTTTCTGGCTTAGTAGATATTCTGTGAATGTTGGCGATGGTTTTTTAATAAACTCTTTCGCCTGTCTCATTCCTGCGAGTTGTTCCACCATTCTTGAGATTTAGTTTGCATCCATAATCTGATACTAGTCTTTTGTATAGCTTTCGCAATACCACAGAAGGGTTCTGGGCCATTAAGAGCTTTGTTTGCTCCTGCTCGGGCAAGTGAGTCTGCCTCTTCATTGCCCTCGTACCCTGTATGGTACCCATGCTAGAGTCAATCTGTTCTGACTGCAAGTAACGACCAATTCAATTCGAAAAACAATTGACATTGTTTGACATAATATTATCTACTTGCTATGCCGTACTTCTGATTTAACGAAAAATGACCTCAACTTTCAATTTTTGAATTCGTTATGATTATCCCTAACCGATTATGGAATAAAATACAGGGTGTCCCATTTAAAAATCGAAAATTGGGGTCATTTCCGGACAAACGGGAAGTACGGAATTTTCGGATTCTTTCATGTTAACATCAACGTAACCCTAACTTAAATATGCCCTCGATCGTCCTCGATCCACGTGAGTCAAGACAGCATATTATTTTCTAGAAAACATGTAAGAAGTCGGGAAAACGCGTTTATTATCTGATTTCAATTCCCATCCTAGACTTGTTTCGGATTTAATTTGATGCGCAGCTGATTCTGCGCAGTCCAAGAACCGTTTCAACAATTTGGAACACGAACAAACCTATGGAGTGGTCCGTTCAAGAACTTATTTTTGCCAGCACACTCATTTGCGGAACGCCCGCTTGATCGTCAGTTTGCAGCGTGCCTTCCTTTTAAGCTTCAGCTTCAATATCGCCCCCCCGCGACCAAATTACCGATCGAAAAAATCAATTACGTGTGGGTTAATATAATATAACGAAAAGAAGGGGTCACTATACCATAAAAAAACATCGAGAGGGTTCGACCTGCAATTCGGAAACAGGCAGGTATCCTTGACATTTCATTAGTGAACGTCTTCAATTGCACCCCAATAAAATGATTGTCTACCAAGATTTGAAGCCACATGATTTTAACGCCAGATGACTCGATACTGATAATATGATTCCTTCAGAAAAAGGCTTCATCGGCGTGTTTTAGTGTCACTTTATTCAAAACCGTGCGCTCGAAGAGATAAAAAAAATCTCAAATTCCCCATGTAAATGAATCATGACAAATATAAGATTCGATATTCACCCGGCACAAATATGTTTTGCTGAAGTAATTTTTCTTTTGTTTCTAGAATATCCACACCATACTGGGCTCGATAGAAGAAAGACTACGGAACCTAGACAACATTTATTCCATGCAACTATCGCAAAGTATAGATGTGAAACTCGATCAGTATAACAGGAAATTGGAAAATGTCGACAGCAAGATCATGAGGCTGGAAGCTCTGGTCATGCTGAATTTGGGAAAAATTTCCGAAAACATCAGCACGAAAAACTTCAAAGACGACATAGAGAAAACAAACATTTATAGAAAACTAGATTCTATATACGAAAACGTTGTTCATAGATTGAACTACATTGAGAGACAATATGAAGCAAACTTTGACAAAATGCAAGTAAGTCTGCAACAATTAATCGAAGCAATGTTTTATTTGTTTTGTTCCACAGAAAAACTCGGAAATCACGATGAAACGGTTAGAAAAAATAGAAGAAAGTATTTCAAAAAGTAATTCAGACTTTGAAGCGGAGCTTTCAGATGCCATTTTTGCAATTGATGACTTAAAAACAACGTACACTTCAATGGAGAAAAAGATACTGAACACAACAGAAGCAGCACTCAATGTGAGTAGTTATTAGTAATTAAAGCAATAAATAAATATTATTATTGTTGATATGACATAAAGTTTGTGTCAAGTGCCATTTAGGTTTTGAAAACATTGTGGTATTTACTTTACAATATCACTATCTGAATTATTCCAATATTTATACAGGGTGTTTCAAAAATACCTGACACATTTGCTAGGGAAGGTAGAACACTGCAAAATAAGTTGGGTTTGCTCAGTAAAAGAATGTCGTAACGGCATCCTTTGTCAAGATACAATGTGCTGAAAAAAATATTTTTTTACACATTTTTTACGATTATGTCGAAACTATTGGCAATATTGCAATGAAATTTTGTATGGATGTGTTTTGAAAGCTGAAAAATCGCATGAATTTTTTTTTTATATCTGACTCTCATAGATGGCGCTAAACATAAGTTTTTTGAGGTTAGATTTTTCAATTCGAATTCGATGTGAGCTTGAACATCATTGAGGCTATGTGCCATCCTAAACCACGCTCAGCTTTGGTGCAGGAATGTGGCGATGCTCTTGAGAAACTAGCTGAACAAAAGGAAGTCGAACAAGTATGGGATCCGGGTCACAGGGGGGAAAAAAGTAATTTATGAAGTGATATTCTATAACCTGTCAACAGAGATGAAATGTCAAACTTTTTTCCCGTCAAAGGAAAAATATTATAATTACCACGGGATTTCAATTGAAGCCTAGATATAATCTCTTGACCCCTGACTAATGATGATGATTCTCAATACCTCTGAGAGTTGCATATTAAAACCAGAAGATGTTAAGAAGATTCATCCGGAGAAAATATTTGCCTTTTTCTGTTAAACGAACCGAATAACCGCTAGGAAGTGTGGGTGCACAATGGGCCGCTGAAAATGCCTACGTGGTTGGGCTCAACCCACCCACTAATCCTAAGTAATCGCGATATTGTTCATTCCAGATAAGTTATGTGGGAGATTCACACTGAATTTTAAACCAACTATTCTTTGCCCCATTTTTTCATGGTCCAGAATAGATTAGGTGTTCCCCGAGGCATATAACCTCCACAAATTTAAGAAGAACACCAAGTCCTACCTTATTTCTCTTGGTTCTCACGATGTTCTCTGAACATTACAGGATATTCCTATTCGTGGGAACCAGAACATAAAACAAGACAATTATATTAATGTTCAATAAATGTCATCACAGATAACTCATTTTGGGTTCGATCATATCATTTTGCATCTAAAAAATATCAAGAGAACTGCAATATTAGATAAGGAACTATCACAACTGAAACATACATGTCTTGAATTGTAAAGGAATGCCTATTACGAGTTACGCCGGGCGGTAAAGTCCTACTTTACGCTTGGTCGTGAATAAAATACATTTTCACAAAACACTCAATAATACATGTTTCGCAAACACAGTATCTTATTAAAACAAAAGTGGAATACTCGTACAATAAATTATCCTAACCTAACCTTCTAAGAAAAACAAATCCAAAAGCTGTGAATCGATGAGGACTAATAATTGCCCAATCGAGTTATGAGACCCCGGTACGGGACATCACTAATCACTGAGGGTGACTAGGAACAGCCTTAACCGCCTTCCACCTCCCCCGCTGCAGCGCAGCGGTCCTCATAACAAAAAGCCACATGGGGCTTGTGACTTTAAGAGTCGGTCGTTTTAGGGGGGTGAAGAATTTTCAAGCAAGACAATCCGCAGGGACTGACGTCTAGAATCTGACTTGCTAATAATTGATCGTCAAGTAAAATGTTAGTTTTCATGTGTTTTTTTTTATATCTGATGATTTCAAATAATCGAGTTTCATTTCTTCATTTTGTACATGTGAAACATGTAAATTCTTATCAAAACTATAATTCTTTCTGATAAATTTGTTTTCTTTTTTGAAAAACTCGAATGATGTTCGTGAATGCTATGGGTAAATTAGAATAAAAATCAAGCGGGCCGGGTTTTAGATTCCATCGGTTTCAATATGAAATTCAAAATGTATTTCAAATCATATTATATACCAAAAAATGTGTTTTCCGGCCTACATGATTTTGATTACGGCAGGGTCAATTGAGATCAATTTGAAAATGCCAACTTTAGAGTCTCATAGCTTTCGAGCATAGCTTTCAACCAAATGGAGAAAAATTATGGATGAAAGTTATTTGAAAGATTATGTTCGTTCAGAATATGAGAAATAAATTGTAAGTTTGTAGGAAACAAACATTTTCTGACGCCATTTCCGTAGGTTGAAAATATATACCTTGCACACAGCTATTTACATTCCCTCGGACAAATTTGGATCTGCAGTTTTCCTTTTACTGTTATAAGCCGAGGGCACGAAATTTGAATCACCCTGTACGTACTATTATACGGGGTGTCCCTAAAAGGTTTTGACAAAAACTTACCACATATTCCACTGACCAAAACAATCCGATACAAGCAAACTCATCTCAGTACAAAGTTGCCGAAGTTACAATTTTTAAATGGTTTTTGCTTCACTTTGAAACGACTCAAAAGATTTTTACTCAAATTAGGTACGTTGGCTCAGCTTCATTGGACAATGAAACCCATATCATGATCAGGATGCATATCATTATATGGGCGTAGAAGTTGATTTTTTCAGTGAATGAACATCTAAAACTTCTGCCACAATGGAAAGAAAGGGGTTTGAATATGAAATTTGGATTGTGTAACTTCTTTACTACAAAAAAGCTACTTTTGATGAAATTCGATTACTCTTATTGTTTCGACAAAATGTGAATTTCAGTAATTCAAAGCATTAGTCAACACTAAAACTATTAACAGATATCTCATTAAAAATATTCATTTCTGCGTATAAGAAGATTTATACGACGAACACAATTTAAATGTGGTATCAGTTATTTTTTGTTGTTGTTTTTGTGTACTGAGTAAGCCAGAACCGTCTATAGCGCCCAGACTGAGCAATTTTTTACTGAGGTGAGTTTACTTGCAGTTTTTTGCGTCTTATGAATCTCCATATACGTGAAAATGATGAACATTTTGAAAAATTTGTATGCAATTCTTATGAAATATCTGTTGATCGTTTTAGTGTTGAAAGATGCTTTCAATTAGGTACTCAAATTCAAATTTTGTTGGAACCACAAAAGAAATCTAATTCAATCAGGAGCACCTTTTTCATAGTAAACAAGTTACGAAATCTAAATTGCATATTCAAACCACCGTCTTTTCATTGACGTAGAAGTTTTACATGTTCATTCACTGAAAAAATCGAGTTCTACGTTCATAGAATTATATTCATCATAGTCATGATATGGGTTTCATTGCCCCATAAAACTTCGTCAACATAAAAATTCGAGTGAAATCTCAAAAGCCGTTTCAGAGTTACAGAGCAAAAACAAATTGAAAATAGTAATTTTAGAGCCATCTAGCGCCCAAATTGAGCAACTTTGTACTGAGGTGAGTTTGCTTATATCGAATTGTTTTAGGATGAAGAATATGTTGAAGGTTTTTATGAAGCCCTTTTAGGGACACTCTGTATAGGTAATATGAAAATGAAATCCATAATTCCCAATAATTGTGCATATTACACACATTAGATTAGAGTAGCAACTAAATAAACTGCTCCACATTTGAAGTGAGACAAGCGAATATTTTGTTTGTTTTCGAACCGTAATAACTTTGGATGGGATCAACCGATTTTGGATTTTTTTTTGGGATTCGGTATGCTCAGTTAATTGGGTATAACATAATTTCTTGCGTTCCTCCACCTTTTCGGAATCATGACATACAGGATATCTGAAAGTGTGAACATTTTAGAAAAGTTTGAGGTCGCCCCGTTAGTAGGATATTTTTTTAAATTTTTTTCTGACTAAAAAACATGAAGCCTGATGTGTTTTCTCGAAATGGGTTTCGGATTCATCAAGAAACAGGATGTTTTGAGATATGCAATTTTGAACAACATATGGCTTTTCGAATTGTTTGAATACCTCAAATTCATTGGTTAACCCCTCGGTAAAGTCTCATGTTGTCTGGGTATTGTTTTTATGGTGGAGTGTTCCCAAGAGGATGGACCTATGATGCCACAGAGGCACTGCGAGCACTGGATGACAAAAAATTGTGAAATACGTCAAATTGTAATTTTCTTGGAAGATATCCACAGAAGATGAATTCCAAAGTGACGATCTGCTACGAAAAAAAATCATTGTAACACGATGTTCTAGGTGTTTAAATTCTGACTGAATAAGGGTCTGATATTACGAAAAACCATATGTTGTTCAAAATTGCATATCTCAAAACATTCTATATGGATCTTGATGAATCCAAAACAATTTCGAAAAAAAATATCAGGCTTCATGTTTTTGCAGTCAGAATTTTTTTTTTAAATTATCCCACTAACGGGGCGACCTCAACTTTTCTAAAATTATCACACTTTCAGATATCATCCTGTAGGTCATGTTTACGAAAGGGTGCAGAAACGTAAGGGAATTATGTTATGCCCAATTGACTGAGCAATCCTAATCCAAAAAAATATCGAAAATCGGTTGATCCCATCCAAAGTTATAACGGTTCGAAAACAAACAAAATATTTGCTTGTCTCACTTCAAATGTGGAGCAGTTTAGTTATTTATGACACAGGTGACCATAATTGAAATGATAATTGTTTTCCATAAATCTCGGTATTTGATGTAGCAAAGAGATTTAAATGAAAATGCTAATTTCTTCAGGTTTCGAGAGACAGCTTCAACTTATTATCGAAAAGTAATATCGAAAACAGAAAATCCATGAATAAACTGCACGACAATATAATTGGCAACTTGCAATACATTGACAACAAAACCAGCGAACACATCAAAATATCTGACAATACAAACGGTATGTTGAAACAGATGCAAGTTGAGCTGAAAGAGGACTTCAATAGTTATGCAAATAAGGTATAAATGATTTTTTACTTATTTACTATTTTTCTCCCTATTCATTGGTGTATCTTTCATCTAGGTAGCTGATATGAATACTGACATTTGGAAGACCAGTGATACAACAGAGGATGATCTGAAGACTATTGCTAAAGTTGTCAATGCCACAAAAATTGAATTACAAAATGGGGTACGATCTCTCATGTTGCAGCTTGGCAAATTATCACACAAAGAAAATAGCATACCTCTTGGTAAGTGGAAATATTTTGATAGAAAAAGACGAGTTTATGATTATATTTCATTCAGGTACAGATCGTTACGATGAACTAGAGACAAAATGGAACGCAAACTTCGAGAAAATACTTACCAACCAGGATGTTTTTATGGAGAGCTGCCATAGGCTGCAGATGGATGAATCTCAAATCGAATCGGAAATAAGCGTCATGCTGAATAAGCTGATTGATATGCTTGAAAAAAAGTAAGACTACACTCTGAAAATTGCACAATATCAACAGGAGAAGAACTATTACTATTTTTTCAATACTCCAGCTTTCTTTACTTCGATAACTGTTCACTAATTATGATATCTTGATAACCGTTTGCTTCTTGAAATCTCGCATCCTTCGATCTTTATTATCTTTGGCCGTAGTCTATCCCCTCTCTCTAGACGCTGACGTCACACTAGTAGGTTGAAATTTCACATCAGTTTGTACTGGTGCGTTCGTAATTGATAGGCTATAGCTCATTTACTATAAATTTTAGAAGCATACTCAATCGAGACGAAATGATCCCCAACGAATTTCCCTACTGTTGGTGAAAAAATGAATCCAATAGGATATTTTGTTCTTTTTCATTTTGATAGTTTGGAAATATATCCATATCGAATTTTTTTCATGAATTTAACGTAATCCTCGAAATATATACACTTCAGCAGAAAATAATCAATACCGAATAGGCGTGTTTGTGTAATAAAACACTCGAGTGATAGGATTTCTAACGTTATCAAAGTGCGTCCTGATCATCTTTAGACATAAACGCTGCTAAATGTAAAGAACACCTGAATAATCGTTCTACTTGATTTGAAATATCGGTTTGTTATTGGCCCTTGGGAATTGAAAAAAAAAACTCAGTCAATCTAGAATATCTAGATACTATGAGGAATCTTTTCATGATTGAATCATTTCTGTGAATTTAATATTGGAATTTTGGTAGCTGTTTAAAAAAGGACAATTCTGAATGGCGTCAATTGATATGCGATATTTCTGAAACTAATGATCGTAAATCAGTGAAAGTTGATTTATCTTCTGGAAAATTCTATTCTGTACATATTTGACCTCTTGATATTTTTCGCTAACTGTAACCGTTTTTCCGAGGTACATCAATGAAACGGGAGAGACAATTTCCACTGCGTTGATTTTGTCCCTACTAGTGTGACGTCACGATAGCGATGCTCCGGCCCGGTGAGTTAGAGTAGGCCCTGTTTATAGGCTGTGTCAAGTCAGTCGCTCAACCACAGTGGTCATACCAGAATGGTCAAGGTTTGACTCGACTCCCATCAAACGTTAACGTGGTAACTTTGTGGGCAGGTTTGAAACGTGACCAATATTCCCAAACAGCTGGTTGGTCAAACTGAATAATCTCGTACTACTCATAACTGACCTACGACAAATGAAACCATGATTTTTCGAACGAAAACAAACCTATAATGAAAATCCGAACGCGGCAGAAGAGAACCTCTGAGAACATAACCTCTACTAAGAATATGCGAAAAAACAATCGTTTGAAACCTGTATCCTGTATCTTTATTGGAATAATATTCTGATGCTTCAAAGTCTCCTTCGAGTCTATTCATAATATTTCTGGAAACCCTGTGGACGAATGATGGTAAATATATTCCATCATAGCATTTTTTGTAGCTAGATTTTCAACATGTTGTAAGGGCAAATTCTCCTCAACATATCCTCAATTTTTCGGTTTATCTAACAAAAGTTCGGGAATGATCAGATTAGGTACACTTTTTTTTTATTGTACCAGTATTTCACCTAATGAAGCTACTGTGAGAATTTTGTGGAAAGTAACGGCCAAGTCAATTCGCGATTCAAAAAGAGTATTGTATTTCCTCCTTTCTGCTGGTGGAACTTGTCACTTTATTCAACTGGCGACTATGGTAGGATGCATTATCCATCACAATACTGCTCTTTGGTAGTATATTCGGTAATAATATGTTTTGAAACCAGTCCTCAAGAACTTCAGCAGTTGTATAGCAGTGGTAGACCACATGGCTCTATGCCAGCGTCATCAGGCCTATGATAGCATATGGGTCAGTAGTTTGGTGGCCAAAGACACAACAGGCTGGAGTGATTCGAAGGCTCAGTGCTATTCAAAGGCAAGCGTACCTGAGTGCCACTGGTGCACTGAAAACCACTCCAACAGCCGCTTTAGAGGTCCTCTTGAACCTACCACCACTACAAATATATATTCAAGGCGAAGCCAGAGCAGTCGTGAGTAGATTGTTAAGGGGTCAAGCACCCATAAGCAACGCGCACGGTAAAGACTATAGGAAGCTATATGAAGAGTTGGAAAGCGACCCCATCATGGGGATGCCAACGGATGGCATAATTCCAAAATATAGCTTTGAAAAAACTTTTAAAATAAGTATAACGGGCAGAGGCATGGAAGGAAGGACCTCCTATCAATGCAGACATTGCTGTCTATACGGACGGCTCCAAAACTGATGAAGGATCAGGAGCTGGTATTTATGGGGCCAAGCCAAAGACAAGAATCTCACTGAGCTTAGGCAAATACGCGACGGTGTTTCAGGCAGAAATTATTGCAATACATCATTGCGTGAAAGAATTTATAAGGCAAGAGTTCAAAGGCAAAACCATTGCAATCTATTCAGATAGCCAGGCGGCAATCAAAGCAGTCAACTCTATGCGAGTTAACTCAAAACTAGTATGGGACTGCTTAGAAACCCTAAATGCACTGGGCAGTCAGAACAGATTGACTCTAGCATGGGTACCAGCACATACAGGGTACGAGGGCAATGAAGAGGCAGACTCACTTGCCCGAGCAGGAGCAAACAAAGCTCTTAATGGCCCAGAACCCTTCTGTGGTATTGCGAAAGCTATACAAAAGACTAGTATCAAATCATGGATGCAAACCAAATCTCAAGAATGGTGGAACAACTCGCCAGGAATGAGACAGGCTAAAGAGTTTATTAAAAAACCATCGCCAACATTCACAGAATATCTACTGAGCCAGAAACGAAGTTCAACTAGAATACTAGTGGGACTTCTCACAGGGCATTGTAGGCTCAACAAACACATGAGTACGATAGGTCTGACTGAAGAACTGCTGTGCAGGTTCTGTCAAGAAGAGGAAGAAACAGCAGTACACATACTTTGCCACTGTGAGGGTTTATCAAGACTAAGGTTACTTACGCTGGGTGAGGAAAAACCAGGAGCCCAGAGATACACAGGAGATCTGAAAGCTAGCCTATGGAGTCTCATAGAGAAGGCAGGGCTAGCCGAAGAACTCTAATCGATTTTGAGGGCAGACACAATAGATCTGAAAAGGTCGCAGTGTGGAGGCAGATAGCCCGAAGGCCCCATTCCAAATCTAATCTAATTTAATCTAGCAGTGGTAATCTAGCTGGAATCCGAAATGTTTTTGGCTGCCAAAAATAAGCAGTTTGGTACCCAGCCGCCTCCTGACCTCGCATATAGAATTGTTATTCTTCTACCTTTATTGGACGGAGCTTTAGTGTGTCATTTTTTTTTATTTATCAGTCCAACCTTTACTTGGTGTGTCATGGGTGTTATAGCATGTCTAATCTAGGTTCGATTTTCCGATCTAGCACTATTCATTTTTTCCAGATATTCTATTCTATAAGTTGTTGCAAGCGGTGTGATTCCATTATAACTTGCCTTTTGTCTATTTTTTTAAATAAAAACTCCAAACAATGTAGAGTACGCTACAAGGTTGTAGTAGAACAACTTATGTCATAATCATCCTGGAATAGCCTCGCTGAGAGCGATAATTATGTGGGAACTTTCTGCTCTTCATATACATCTGATAAACTCTCCGACGGATTAAATCTTCATTGTATATATCAACAGATTTCGGTGCACCACTGTATTTTCGTATCATCGAATAATATAATCTTCGAATGTTGGTTATTAAATTGAACGACGATTAAAAAGATGACATTTTGTTTTCTCGGAGAATTGATAACTGTTTTCATTGTGACTTACACATAAGATAGGTCGAAAGACACAAGATGGCGGACAAAGGTACAAAGTCAGATTTATTTTGACAGTTCTATGTAAACAAGGTTTTATCGAGGACCATGCAGTGTTATCAGTACATTACCGAATGATTGGCTAGAATTTTGCATTGCTACTGGTGGAAACAACGGAAACACCACATTTAGACATGTGAAAAAAATAATCGAAGGTAATACCACGAGTCCTTCAAATATTATCGATAATTTTTTTAATTAGTTTGTGAGCGAATTATTGTTTGACGGATACCTCGAAGTGACGGGCGAAGACAACTTGCCAACTAAATTTCTGTCATTTTGGTAATTATTCCGAGCATTATTCCTGTTCAAGTAGAATTTTCCATCAAAATTAGAAGAAATCGTGTACGTTAACACGTTAGAAAACGCATTTTGAATAACTCTGCGGATCTCGCTTCGCATTCCCTAAATGGTTACGTCAATAACTATTACCATATTTGTCCCGTAAATGTCAACTGCGGACACCCTATAAATGCCATTAATTATTGTTTTGTATTCTAGATTCGCTTCAGAAACCAAAGATATGAAAAATTTCGAAAAAGCACTGAAAAATCATGATGGGCGAACAAACAGGAACCTGTTCCAGGCGAATCAAAACATCATATCGCTTTTCGAAAAATCCACAGTGAATACTCAGATTGTGACAAATGAAATCCGAAAAGTGGGCACCGATTTGGACACTCTATTTTCGTTTGTGCAGAGTACCCTAACTGATTCTTCAAGTGCAGCAAATACGAAGGAAATGAAGGTATTCGTTTTTTATTATAAAGTTCTGATGTACAGGGTGGACCAAATAAGAAAACCGCATATCGATATCATTTCTTTATTTCAGAGTTACAATGTATTTTCCGAAAATGTGAATTTTTTAAAAGTGGCTAAACTTTTTTTGTCAAAAATTCTTCGTTTTCATTAAAACATTTCCAAAACATTGTGTTTCAAGAAGAACAACTTATATTCTTGAACAAGATATAGAAAGGCCGAGTTCAGGGCCTCGACAACCCGCAAACTCAATGCTCTGCAGATATTTTTATAAGAACAGATAATTTTTGCCTAAAAAATATCTGTAGCCACTTTTGAAAAATGCCCATTTTCGAAAAACACCTTGTAACTCCGAAACAGAGACAGATCAGATATCGATATGCGGATATTACCATTGAGTTTTTCATGAAAATCCACCCTCAGGCACTGACATCAGTTTTCTTCCATCACCCTGTACAATATGAAGAATGGAACAAAAAAAATAACAATTTCGTCGAAACTACTTGTACGTTCCTAAGGTATTGAACTTCCGCATATTGGTTTTATAATATAGTTATATGTACAATGTACAGGGTCTCGCCGATTTAATAGGGATAGTATTGCTATTTCTGTAACGGTCAGAGATAGAAAGTTGTTCAAATGAGACAAAAGTTGCGTAATTTAATCTTTTTCAATATTACGTTTTGCAAGTTGAAAAAACTTTTGCCGTTCCTGAGATATTTTGGAAGAACTGAAAATCACTGATTTTGTTTTAATTTATATTCTTGGTTTATATTCCAGGGCAATCTTTCAAATTTTGCGTAAGCAGATAATCAATCAAGTAATATCACGATGTTCTGAATATTCGAGATACTTTGAACGGCAACACAATTGAGTCAAGAATGAGAGACAGAATTATGAGGAGATATTCAGAACAGAGTGGTATTTTGCTAGACTATTTCACGTTCACGAAGCATTAAAAGTATTTATTATAAATGAGTGATTCATTCTGATGAGTACAGCCATTATTATTGTATGCCAAACTTGATACCCATGATTATAATGTGGCTGAAGTTAGCTTCAGATTTAAATCTGCGTTCTCGCCAATTTCTAGCAGGCCAGATGAATAGTGTCCGATAATTCATTTTGAATGAAAATTAACAGAAGAACTCAAAATACTGGTAATTTCATCAATATTATTTGATATAGGGATCCATTACGATGTGTAATATAACTATACAAATAAGTACACCAATTATAAAGTTATACATAAATAACTATATATATAGACAATGACATGAGGTCTGATACATAATAATATATAGTATTGGCTCATCGAGAACATTTCTGGAAAATTATTCAGACGGTAGTGACTCCTCAAAATTGATGAAGACAAGATTAATACAAGCCAACATTGCTAACGGGGTGAAAAACCCTCACTGGGAATGATATTGAGTTTCAAATACAGAAAAATATGACGTTGTCGAGCAATTTTGAAGGTCGTATGGTACCATCATGACCTCGATCAACCATGTCAAACAAGAGATTTAGACGCGCCAACGTTCCTTACGGGGTGGCCACCCCTCACTTGAAATGATATAAAGTATCGATTACCGAAAAATCTGACGTTGTCGGGTCATTTCGAAGGTCGTGTGGTATCATCATGACCTCGATCAACCATGTCAACCCAGAGATTTAGACGCGCCAACGTTCCTTACGGGGTGGCCACCCCTCACTTGAAATAATATAAAGTATCGATTACCAAAAAATCTGACGTTGTCGGGCAATTTTGAAGGTCGTATGGTATCTTCATGACCTCGATCAACCATGTCAACCAAAAGATTTAGACGCGTCAACGTTCCTTACGGGGTGGCCACCCCTAACTTGAAATGATGTAAAATATCGATTATCGAAAAATCTGACGTTGTCGGGCAATTTTGAAGGTCGTATGGTATTATCATCACCGCGATCAACCATGTCAACCAAGAGATTTAGACGCGCCAACGTTCCTTACGGGGTGGCCACCCCTCACTTGAAATGATGTGAAGTATCGATTACCGAAAAATCTGACGTTGTCGGGCAATTTTGAAGGTCGTATGGTATCATCATGACCTCGATCAACCATGTCAAACAAGAGATTTAGACGCGCCAACGTTCCTTACGGGGTGGCCACCCCTCACTTGAAATAATATAAAGTATCGATTACCGAAAAATCTGACGTTGTCGGGTTATTCTGAAGGTCGTGTGGTATCATCATGACCTCGATCAACCATGTCAACCAAGAGATTTAAACGCGCCAAAACGTTCCTTACGAAGTGGCCACCCCTCACTTGAAATAATATAAAGTATCAATTACCGAAAAATCTGACGTTGTCGGGCAATTTTGAAGGTCGTATGGTATCATCATGACCTTGATCAACCATGTCAACATAGAGATTTAGACGCGCCAACGTTCCTTACGGGGTGGCCACCCCTCACTTGAAATAATATAAAGTATCGATTACCAAAAAATCTGACGTTGTCGGGCAATTTTGAAGGTCGTATGGTATTATCATCACCTCGATCAACCATGTCAACATAAAGATTTAGACGCGCCAACGTTCCTTACGGGGTGGCCACCCCTCACTTTAAATAATATAAAGTATCGATTACCGAAAAATCTGACGTTGTCGGGCAATTTTGAATGTCGTATGGTATCATCATGACCTTGATCAACCATGTCAACATGAAGATTTAGACGTGCCAACGTTCCTAACGGGGTGGCCACCCCTCACTTGAAATAATATAAAGTATCGATTACCGAAAAATCTGACGTTGTCGGGCAATTTAGAAGGTCGTATGGTATTATCATCACCTCGATCAACCATGTTATAATGGAGATTCACATTAATCTCAATGAAATAGCGCCAAGAAGTGTTTCTCTCACCGCAACTGTTGACAAATCTCAGATTCGACCATCTCTTGAGTACTGTTTGCATGTCTGGAAATCAGCTCCAAAACATTCCCTGAAGTTCCTTGGGTCGGTTTGACCCAATTCTGACAAGATCACTGCAAACCTCACAACATCAAAGAAACGTTGCAGACCTATAATTATTTACCCTTCTATCGAACGCTATCATCATCATGGACGATGCTCGATGCAGCTGTTTCCCCTGGAACGACCATTATTCGCCGAGACTGCTAAATCAAGTTTCCCACTCATATGCAGTCAACATTTTAAACATCTAGAACATCATGTTTCAAGAACTCCCTATTTGTAGGACATTGTCAATTTGGACTGTTTGGTGTTTTGCTCACGGATGAATTTACAGAAAACTACAACATGAATCAGTAGAATATTCATCGCTAGAAATTTGACAATTAGTATAGCTGAGGATAGGTAGGTATGATAACTATGACGATAACACAAGTAGATCTTCGTTTCATCAGGTGAGGAATTGATAATAGATTATTTTCATGTATCTATTTTTGTGTTCCATGATCTGGGTGACTTGACATTTGACAGTTGAAATTTTGTGGTGTCGGTGTCACTGCATATGTAATTCCTCCAGCTGGTTATTTCCGAAGCCACATCATACTTTTCATTAGTTTGATATTTTCTTGGGTAATCGCCACTTTTCGGTGATTGAAGTGCACGTGGGCCCTTATAAAATATGAACCCGACCCTTGAATGATCATTTCATAAGAATTAAAAAAAAAATCACATTAACAGTATGTTTTCCGATTCTGAACTTCCTCCACATATCCATTTAACTGTTTGTATTCCAGATCATGGAGCAGTTGCTTTTGTTTGCTCTGTTATTGTCCACGTTATTTGAATTTCAACTTTTTTCACTTCCATGTAAGTAATCAATCATTGCATTCATATCCAAAGTCAATACCGGTTTTTTCTAGAACTTTGAACTATTTTATCGGCTGATGATGGGCTTATATAAGCCCGAAACATGTACCATTGATGATCTTTGATCATTTCAATAAAAGTTGTGGAGATGACTTTGGGTTTTTCATCTATGAACTACACCACGACTCCACTTTGAGTTACCATGGACTTCTTCCAAAGATTATTTACCTAAGTGAAGAAAAATTACTTTTCATTACAGAATATCCTTGAATAATGGTGATTTCTCAGGTAAGTGGTGGAAAAACGATATTCTCTTAAAGTTTACACTAATGTTGACGTATATTCCCAACTAATTCATAGGTTTCAGTGTCTAAACCACCACATGAATCTGATTTGATTCCAAATCGAAAGTTTTTCATGGAACAACGGAATATACATTGTATGTCTTCATTTTCAATTCCTAACCTGATAAAACGAAGATCTACTTGTGTTATCGTCAAAGTTATCATACCTACCTATCCTCAGCTATACTGATTGTCAAATTTCTAGCAATGAATATTCTACTGATAACTGTTGTAGCTTCCTGTAAATTCATCCGTGAGCAAAACACTAAACAGTTCAAATTGACAATGTCCTACAAAAAGGGAGTTCTTGAAACATGATGTTCTAGATGTTTAAAATTTTGACTGCATATGAGTGAGAAACTTGATTTAGCAGTCTCGGCGAATAATGGTCTTTCCAGGGGAAACAGCTGCATCGAGCATCGTCCATGATGATGATAGCGTTCGATAGAAGGGTAATTAATTATAGGTCTGCAACGTTTCTTTGATGTTGTAAGGTTTGCAGTGATCTTGTCAGAATTGGGTCAAACTGACCCAAGCAACTTCAGGGAATGTTTTGGAGCTGATTTCCAGACATGCGAACAGTACTCAAGAGATGGTCGAATCTGAGCTTTGTCAGAAGTTGCGGTGAGAGGAACACTTCTTGGCGTTATTTGATTGAGATTGTTGTAAATATCCATTATAACATGGTTGATCGGGGTGATGATAATACCATTCAACCTTCAAAATTGTCCGACAACGTCAGATTTTTCGGTAATCGATACTTTATATTATTTCAAGTGAGGGGTCGCCACCCCGTAATGAACGTTGGCGCGTCTAAATCTCTTG